CAGTCACATCCAATCCATCCCAGTCACATCCAATCCATCTCAGTCACATTCAATCCATCCCAGTCACATCTCGCATGCAATATATTGATCTACTTCAAATCCATGTACATATCCATCCATTCATTAACACTAAGTTTGATACCTGTACATGTGTTCATCCTGTGCATACAACAGCAACTGTTTAACCAACAAACCTTAAAAACAATAAAAATGATCTTGTAACTATAACCTTGAACTCAGTTTCTACAACTTCTTGTAAGTGCACAGTGATAGGACACACATTTGAAACAAACATCATATTGTAATAAAGAGGAAAAGAATGTGTGACAATACCTCCCATAGAATGTGTTACCCATATTACAGGTCGCTTTCCGACCCCGGCAGTTCTTAATTTCTTCATGATTTTTTTACTACGAGAAGCCAATGAACAACTGAAAGAGAATGACAGAATATGTTTTATTTAGATACGATCCTTTTTTGAAACGGTATCACAAAAAAATACTGCAGAAAATGTTGTTGGAATTAACATTGGTCTTACCTTTCAGGTTGACTTGGACACTGTGCTACCCAGTTAGATAAAGACGAATCATATTCTACCATAAGGACTCTGGTGTTTGGAAAATCCTTTACTAACCAGGCCTGCAGGTTTAAAAGATGTCAGTAAGAACAGCTGAGAACCACATGAAAAACACCCAATACTCAATAGTCTCCTTAAGAATGATCTACCATAAGTCTAAGTTGAGGCAACACCAATAGCATCTGCTTAGGAGACTAAAATACTTACAAGCTAAAAACTAAGTTCGCATACATACTGATATGCAACTGTTGTGTGCAAAAACTACTGGCAACAGAGTTTTGATGAACATAGCGATTTTTCCTGTCATAAAACTATGAATTATCACATGCAAGAGTAATCACACATCAGAGTTCTGGGAAGCACAGAAGCTGCACTTTATTTGCAGAAAATATTACAGCATTGCCAGCAATATTGCAAGTCATTTTCACACGATGAAACTTGTTGTGCACAATGAAAAATGTTGCAGAAGTTGGTCTTTATTCTCATCCTGCATCGTTGTACAAGTCACATGTACATGTACACGTTGTACAAGTCATGGTAAATGATAAGAACATTTTTCGCTGCTTATGTACCTTTGGCCAGCATTGCTCTCTTGTCAGAAAACTACCTGTTCCCTCCTGACGCCATGTTTTAAGTGGACCACCTCTTAACCCATGCACAAAGACCACATCCACTGCTATCTCATTACTGTGAATAAAATAGGTATAATGAAATGAAAGGGATAGAAAAATGAATAAAAAAACAGGAATGATAATAAAGAACCTCTGTCTTGTGTCAGGATGTAGGAGATAAACTCCTTCCTCATAGAATTCATCTGGGGTGAAGTCACGGTCAAGATTAGCTAAAGCACGTGAAGCATGACTGGACAAGGTGAGATCCTGAAGGAAAGAAAATGAGAGTTTTAAAATATCACCATATCTGTGCAACCTTTACAGTGATAAATCATGTTTTCCTGGGTTAAGTTTTTTAAAATTATTTTCATTCTTTTATTCTAGGGTCTGGAAAATTTACCTCTGAAAATAACCAGGATCTGAGAATCGGCAAAATTCCTTAAAAGGTAAAACAATTGCATTAACACATTGAATTCAATCGGCAGCCATTCCCAAGAGAGTGAAATGACAAAGATATGGTAGCAACATAAGTGATATTTACAAAAAAAGGTTCCAGTAAGAAGTATTCTTTAAACTACCACCAATGGACCCCTTGCAAAATGTCAGAATGCAGCTCGACAATTTGGAGGGCAAAACAATAGGTTTCCATTGCTCAGGAGATGCAAGGGGTCTATATGACTGGGATGACAAAGTTTGCAAATGAATGATACTCCATCTGCAATTTATGCACAATTCCACAGGTAACCCAAAAGAGGTAAAAGCTTGAACATAAAGGTAGCCCACAGTTACATCAAAGTTAATTACATGCAAAGGTAACCCACCTTGGTCTACAATATCACTATGAGTTATTTCTTCTAGAGTAAGATTTCCCAGAATGCGCCCAATTTCCCATTTAATTTTAAGGTTATTTTGCCGCTGCTGTAATTCTTGAAATAAGATGGGAAGAATCCCATTTTCAACCATTATCTGGCGATGACTTGGTACCTGGTTGATTTGAGGTAAAAAAAAAAAGGAAAAATAACTAAGGTTTCCGCTTCCTAGGAAATTGAAAAGAATATCTACTGATTTAATCATTTGGGTCCAGAAATTCTGCTCCGAATTTTCTTTTGAACCCATTATGAAGACAGATTCTAAAACCCTTGCAGCACATTTGAGGGAGATTTGGGTGTGGTCTACGGGGGGTATATTTGAGCCATCTTCTTCTCCTTAACATCCTCCCACACACTTCCTAGATCCTTTCAGCTTTCTGCTTATTCCATTATAAAGTATATCTACTGACCATGGAATGTCTTGATAATGCTTTTAGATAGTATAACTCCACTTGTTCAGGAGGCATTGATGAAAAATTATTAGCAAATGATAAGTTAGAATCTCCACTAAAACTCCACGACAGTGACTGAAAAAAAATTAAAAAAACAATAATGAAACTCTGCTAATTAATAACATCAATTTAATAACACAGTTTTAAATTCTCTGTTGCTCAGGGTTAACCTTAAATATTGTGTAGAATATTCAGGTCACTCTGAATATTTACACTGCTTCTTTAAGTTCCATGGGATTTTATAAGTGATTGTATTGCAAGTCCTGCATTACTTTCATTTTTGTTATCCGTCAATATTTTAATGATGAAACGATGCTAATTCTAAATTTAAGAAACACACTTCCAGTAAATGATATTTTATGAATTTGAGGAATGCATTTTCTCAGATTCTTTCTTTTTTTGTTATTAACTTTTTAGTACAGTGTATGCCACCATGTGAAACAACCACCATGTTGGTTGATCTAACAAAAGAAGCTGATGATGCTTTGTTGTTGTAAACCGAGATGGTGGTTATGACATACATGCACATGCTCTATACCCTTTTGTGTTGTTTGGCTGATCGTCCAGTCAGAATAGCACTCTTAGTGAACCATGTTGTACAAGCATCTAGTCCAGTTAATGGCAAGGATAGCAAGAGAGATTTTAGATGGTTCTCTATGGATCGTCCTTGTAGCATGACTTCACTCTGTGATAATCAAAAATGTCCATTATCACTGCTTTCATCATAGACTGCTATAAACTGAACAAGATAACAGTCGTGACTGAGAATTCAGACAATACACTCACTCAACTCACACATTCACTCACTCACTAGCTCATTCATTCATCCATCCATCCATCCATCTATCCACTCCTGTTCATTCACCGATCCAAGTATTCATTCATTCATCCTGTTCATATATCCACCCACCCATCCATCCATCCATCCATCCATTCATTCATCCATCCATCTTGCACCCACTCACCTACCAACCCATCCATCCATCCATCCATTCATCCATCCATCTTGCACCCACTCACCTACCAACCCTTCCATGCATCCATCCATGCATTCATCCATGCATCCATCCATCAAACCCTACCAGCAATACACAAAGGACAATGATAAAGGTCAATGTTCTCAAAGGAGTGAGGAGGACTAAGCCTACCAACCATACTCAATATTTTAAAGATGACTTTTTGCTTTCTAAATCAAAGCCATTACCTTGTTTTTTGAAATGGTCTCAAATGCACTCCAAATGCTTTGATCGACAGAACCTAGCCTAGCAAGGCCAACAAGAATTCTCTTATCACAAGAACTTAATATCTCTTGAACATCATCACCTGTTTATTTGCAGGAAAAAAGCAAAAACATGTGTTGTAAAATCTTTTTTTGATGAAGTACCTCTATTAAGCAGACACCTTCAGGCCCTTGCTTGCTCTCCCCTTGGTGTTAATATGGTAAGAATAAAACATGCAACTAGCTGCTTATTTAATGAAAGATGGCTACCTAAAAATTAGACCTTTTGATTGCTATTTCAAACAGATTGTCTTCAGAGGAGGGATTTCACTCACAGCAGCCATGTTGGTCAAAACAATAAACAATATTTCTTTTGGGAAATGAACTTTCTTGAAAACGTGAGGTTATTCCTGCCCTACAAAATGTCTTCCATAAAACTATCAAATAAAAATGCTGATAAACAGGGATACTAACTCTCAGGAAGATCTAACGAAGCAATCACATCTGTCATAAGTAGTCTTGTGTTCCTTGTTCCATACTGTTGGATTACTTTAAGCAATTTGTTTGTTCCTCCACTATCACATAACCATGGTGATGATAACACTGAAAAAGTCAGAATTTTCTCAATATTTTGACTACATTTTTCTATGGATTGCTCAATGTTTAGATGGCTGGAGAAATGGGAAAAATGTCACCCTTCCTCTACCCGAGTCCTTTTATCTCAAACCTCTTGGATCCTGGAGACCAGGGAAAAGGCTTTCAATAACTAAGATTCGAGATACCCAGGGTAAACTTGTGCTGATCCAAATCTATAGAATGTGGCCTCAACTTTTAGATGATGGGAAGTTCAAGATATCAGGGGTTTAAGATGATGGGATAACTAGATGCCAGTCACTTTTTCCAGTTACTGATGGTTTAAATTATTTGCCAGGTAGTCATTGGAATATTTGATTGTATAAGCTGACAAACCAGGCCAAGCAAGGCCTTACTCTTCACCTTCATCATGGTTTAAATAATTTACAGTAAACATTGGAATTATCTTCACCTGTTGAAAACTTATGTACCATATCAGCAGATAACATTCCAACCATACTTTCTTGCCAAAACGAAATGTTGAAATCCTCAAATAGATCGTTCAACCAACTTCCTGGAGAACATGATAAGATTAATGGTAATCATTTGAGTAACATAATTGATGCTTTGGCTCAGGCAGGGAATATAGGGATCAAGTTAAATCAGAAATCCTGCATTTTTACTCTTAATAGAAATTTCATAATTCAATCCATCTCGGGACTCACCTCACTTGTGTTGACAAGCGCTTGATACCCATAACATAAATATGATTTGGATTTCAATTTAAACAATATGTGAGTGCTCGGACCCAAATACAAAAAAAAAAAMCCACAATTCCTGTAAAACATAGGTTTAACCTCTTTGGTGGTCATGCACTAGTTGATAAACAATTATTTTTTTCATGCTGTGAGGTAAAGCATATTTCAAGAAGCTATCCATTCACACCCTCACATTACGAGCTGGAGACCTGCTTTTTTCGTACGAGCCGGATCTGAGATCCGGCTGCCAGTGGTTAGAAAACAAAGGCCAGGCGATAATTGGATTAGGAAATGATGACAGCTAGTAACAAGGTGGACTAAACTTTGGAGTACTGTTTTTGTTGTTATTAATATTATAGTTTTAGTTCCAAACATATCGAAATTCCAATCATTTGATAAAAAATTTAGCCTCTCATAGAACTACGGGCGAGTCACCTAGTAATTCTACTGCTTTCGGGCGACAACACCTGGAAAGCACTGGGAAAGACGTCGACTTTTATCATTTGACAATAAATTAACTAAACAGCTTGTAGTGATAAAAATTTTGCCTCTCATAGAACTACGGGCGAGTCACCTAGTAATTCTACTGCTTTCGGGCGACAACACCTGGAAAGCACTGGGAAAGGTTCTGTTTTTCTCAATAAAAACTAATCAGCTTTTGTATGTGATCATCGAGTTGTTTGAATTTGGCAGTTACGAAATATACCGGTAAACCAAAGGACGTTCTCTTGATTTTACAGATTTTGCGCTGGAAATTGCAGAGGGGCTATAAAGCACGTTAAACATAATACATCGTCATTTTGAATAAAAAACACTATGCCGGATGAATTGAAAAGACATGATATGATTATAAAACATATGGGTTACTTTCCTTTCTTGCTCTCTTCGATGAGCTCCGGTCCATAGAACACGAGCCATCATTCCTTGGATTCAGAACCCAGAACCATGTCAAAGGTCTTTGGTCTTGTCCTATGCCTAAATACAACTTAAATCGAACTAACTTACGATTTTCGCACTGTATTATGATACCAAAAGCTCAATYACAATTATTAGATTCAAACTAGCCGAAACTATACGTCCACATCTCTAAAATTCACTACTAATGTAGCATAAACAAAGTTAATCAACCAATTCGTGCGAAACTGCCCCCAAAATATTGAAGATAAAGTTATTTGACGCTGGTTATTACAAGGTAGCTGCTGACATACGAGTCTCATCGACTGTCCACTGAAAACCACAGCCTTTTGTTTGGCCCAGCGGGAATCTCATATGAAAAAAGTAGGTCTCCGGCTCGTAATGATAGACACAGGAAAAAAATGGGGAATTGTTGGGAATTTCCTAGAATTCCCAATTCAAACACCAACATTGGGATTCATTGTTGGGAATTTCCTTCTAATACCCAAGAGAAAAATAAAATTCCCAACAAACTAACATTGGGAATCAGTGCCACGTTCCCATTTTTGTTCTCTCTGGGAAGTGGATGGGAATCCGTTTTTTCCCCTGTGAGATAGGAATTAGTGTTAGTGAACTCCTGCCTTTAACATTGTCAGAGCATTACCTTTAATATCAATATACTTCAATAGATTCCATTGACAGTCATTATGATAACCCAAGTCTTCTAAGATGTGATCTGTATCTAGATTATCTTGATGCCTTTGTTTAGGTTCAACATGAAGCAGGCCAAGGTATGTAATGCTTGATCTAAAAATACCACAGAGAAAATATGTGAGTTTTTTTGTATTTTGTTTTAAGCTTCATTTATGTACCTATTTTGGTATTTATTGCATTAAAGATTATTAAAATGCTCACACTAAATCCGTGAAACAAATACTAATTTTTAGCACTAAATAGTGATAATTAAACAATAGAAAACAAAGGATTCTGTATGAAATAGTACTAATTAGTACTATTTAATGTTCACGGTTTTAGTGCGTGCACTCTATTATTATTTTAATATATCTTGAGTGTAGTCTTATGCATACTGATGGAATACTGTTGTCATGAAAATTGTTGATTTATCTTTTATAATTTTTTTTATTTTGTGGTGAAAAAATAATAGATTGTTTATTTATATATTAAATATATATTAAATTTTGAGGAATTAATCAGGCCTGGAGCAGGGGTAGGGGAGGGGCCTTGGGGGCTCACTCTCCCCCCAACCCCTCTTCCATCCAAATATTTTTGACCTTGCTACAGTCCTGTAAATCACCTCGCGATACTTCGTATGAAATAAGCTTTTGTTATTCATGTGCCAACCAGAAATCATTTGGCGACAATACGAAAAACGGAGTGGCTTTTCGTACAAAGAAACTGTTAATAGCTTTTGTGAAAATGGTTGGCACTATTATCATCACAATGCTTTTGTAAGTAAACATGATGTATACCTACCCCAGTAGAACAGAACTCCAAAACTGCAGATTATACATTGCTGATCCTACGATAAAAATAAAGAAAAACATAGATAAATCCAGTTTTTTTAGTCAAGCCAAAAAGAAAGCTAAAAATTGAGAACAAAGTAAATGAACAAATTTTAAACGCATTAGAACTTACTTTTTAGGAAGCTCATTTTTGATCGGAAGTTTGATCGTCGTATTAAATAATAATCTGTAAAATGACGAGAAAAGAGGAGTTCAAACTGATTTTTCTCTAGTCTTGTTGCTCTTTTCCCGCGACTGTTTTTTTTTTGCTCCCGCAACTATTAGCAGGCGTTCCTGGTCCCTCGTTCCAAGCCCCCCGATAAAAACAACACAGCTATCCCATTTCCACATGATATGTGCATTTGTCAGCTGTTTGGATGTTCTTTCGCGTCTCTCGTCGCATTCAAGTCTGCTATTATTCAGTTTAAAGGTACGAGAAAGTAAAATAGATATCTAATTATGCGCTGGAAAAGTTAGAACTTGATACGAATTGTGTTTTTTTGGGGGTAAATATTTAATTTTGTAGCTATTCTTTGGACTTCATTTGGTAGGCGAGGGAGCAAGAACGGAAAGTCAAAAATTCCCAGTTTGGAATTAYATTCGTCATGATAAAGTTGCAGTCTTTAGCAATCGTACATATATATAGAATTTTAAGCGAAAAAGAAAAAATGCCATAAAAAATGCCATTGCAAGAAACGTGTTAGGAAGTACCAAATTCTTCTACAAATATTTTGTGCTGGCTATGCACCACTCCTAGAATTCTAAAGATAATTATTCTAATAACAACATTTCTAAAAATACCAAGTCTGAAAGTTGTTTTACAGCTGTTATTTCGTTTTCTGACAATGGTCCGTATTTATAGTATTTTAACTATTCATGAGTTTTCAAGAACTTTGTCAGAAAACTTTTTAGGGTTTGGTTGGGCTGGCTGTGTTAAAGGGAAGTTCTTGGGGGACGAGGCTCGAGGCAGACTGGATCGCTTTTATAAATCCACGGTGAGATCAAAGATGGCGGGACGTGATACTAAAAACACCTTCCAAAAATCTTCAAATCACCAATACCCTGGCTTTACCCGGGACAATGAAGGCCAATGGAAGGGACCCTTTTGCTTTATCCAGTCCGCTGATACGCAACTCGGGCTGATCGACTCGTGGAACGAAGTCCCAGAGGATGAGCAATCTTGGCAAAAGGAAGTGGAGTTAACGAAAAAGGCAATAATAGCAGCCAACATCTTAACCCCGAAACCTCGTTTTTTCATCGTTTGTGGAGACCTTGTCAATGCGTTTCCTTGGCACAAATACAATGATCCGCAAGTTGAGGATTTTAAGAAGGTCTTTGAAGAGCTCGATCCTTCGATTCCTTTGGTTTGCGTGTGCGGTAACCACGATGTCGGCGATACCCCAACGCAACAATCTGTGCACAAATATAGGAGTAATTTCGGCGACGATTATTTTACCTTCTGGGTCGGAGGTAAGCGGAATAAACTGCAGCTCACTTAAAAAAATCCTTACGCAACATACTTTCGTTTTTAGATAGTGTTAACGTAAACATATTTTAATTTTATTTTTCAAATGATTTGCTGTGACGCCCTTTGTTAAGCTTGTATTTTTGCAAAAATTTAGCTTATCATTTGATCGATTTTTCACCAAGATTAGTTACTTTCGCATTTTCGTAAGTGTTCTATGATTTATAATTGAATTACTTTAGCCTTCATTTGTCATTTACTTAAGTATGTTATGAAGAAGGAAAAAAATAAAATAAAAATGAGGATTTCCTTCAAATGAGAGGTATTAGAAATTCTCTAATAATTTGACTATTAATTTGTTCAGTGAAACTAGAATATTATTGCTTGATTATAAAGATAATATAAAATGGATTTAATGTTTATATTTTGTTTTGAAGCGTCACCTCTGCATCCAATTTTAATATTTGTCTTTAATTTGATTCTCAGCTACTTTTTGTGTGCTATTTCTATCATTTTGTTCTTGGAAAATCATGAATGTTTTTTTCTCCATTTCTTAGGAGTTTTCTTTATCGTTATCAACTCACAATATTTCAAAGATGGAAGCCAGGTCAGTGACATTCAGCAAAAACAGGAGCAATGGTTTGACGAACAGCTGGAGTTAGCGAAAAAACTTCCAACAAAACATACTGTTATTTTCCAACATATTCCTTGGTTTTTATACAACATTGATGAACCAGACCAATACTTCAACATTGACCTTCAAATCAGAAAGCAAATGATCAAGAAGATCAGAGATGCTGGTATTAGATATGTCTTTGCTGGTCATTATCACCGAAACGCTGGAGGATTTGATGGGGATTTAGAAATGGTCGTAACGAGTGCCATTGGGTTACAAATTAAAAACGATAAGGACTCTGGTTTGCGGATTGTCAGGGTATTAGAAGATAAGATCTGTCATGAATATTATGAACTAGACAAAATTCCTGCAACGGTTGAGCTCTGATAAGTTAGAAGTGTTCTGGAGCTCATGATTGCTCTTCCTGTGTTCAGTGCGATCTAGAGGAGTTAATCTTCGCAGGTTCAAGATTGTCATGGCTGCAGGATGATAAAATGTCTTTTGAGTTTGAGTATATATCAGCATGCATATGAAAGGAAAAAAAAGCACTTCGACCTATATCACTATTATTATTATCATATAAATATATTTAAAAACAAATTTGCCAATGCTATATCTTTGTCACAGAACTTTACAAAATGTTAATTTTTGTTAAAGAAACACTAACAATAACATATACCCTCTATGCAAAGCAAAGTTAAAGTACATTGTGCTTGATACTCATCACACTGCTATACTTTTTATGATTTTTATTGAGGGTTTTTTTGTCTAGCGTTTGTTTTCTTCCTTTGAAATAGCTATGACATATATACATTTTTAAATTTAATTTTACAGTCAGGATGCTAATTATTATACTGCGAACACTTCAAGTTTTTTAGGTTATTTTTTGAATTTTCTTCTGTGCTTTCACATATCTTTTGATGATCGGATTCTGAAGTTTGTTCTGAAGTTCTTCGGAGAACTTCAAACATTTGTTAAAAAGTTTGAAATGAACTTGGAAAGTTCAAAACAAGCTTGACAACTGAGTCATTAAAATAAATCCTATTTCCAATCAATAATTGGTTCAAGGGATGATTAACAGTGCTGTATACATTTTTAAAAGTGACAAAACCCTTGTTCATGGTTCAAGTGTCCTTGCTGCAACAAGATTTATTGCTTGTGTAGCTGCGTCCAGTGCTTTTTAAAACATAATCCAAATGAACTAAAATTATTTAAAACCACAGTACAGTTGTACTATGTACATTGTTTGACATTTCTATTATAGATAAATAATACCATATACCTTATATCTATGCTATTTTGAAATTGATGCTATAAAAATAGCAGAGAGAAATATACTTCAAATATTTCCAAAACATTTTGCATTATTCAACTTAAAATATGATAAAATATTCAAATATCAAAGTTGGGCAATTCCAAGGGTTTTAATGGGTAAATATATGAAACACTCATGCAAAAGTTTATGCAATGAATACTAGCTATTAGCTCTATCACATAGTAATTATTATTCATTATTGTTACTAAACTTAACATTAGAAATTGTGATCTTTTATTCACCAAAACCATAAATTATTCAAATATATCATTATATATTGTAGTATTTTATTGTAGTTCTACTTGTAGTCTTGGTGATTATTGTTATAAATAAAACATTAGTTGGCTTAATTTTAAAATAAAAAACAAGGGATGTGTTACATAGTGACGTAGTGGGCCATAGTGACATTGTCTAAAGTAGGATTAATCATAGTGACCACAGTAAATCCGTGAAACACTAATTACTAAATAGTACAAAATATTGCTAGTTAAACAATAGAATTTGCATGAAATTGTGCTATTTAGTATTAATAAAGTTTTACGGATTTACTGTGGTCACTCTAATTATTTATTCTATTTTTGGTGTATTCCATCTGAAACAATATACTAACTACATGTAGAGAGTTAATTGCTGTATATTTACTTTTTATTTAAAATTAATGAGACCCACAATGCCCTTTGGTCTTGGAATGCCTCATTTAGTATGCAGTATTCAGTATTTAACCTTTTTTGAAATAGCTGTATACAATAATATACATTAAATGTGATATGCTTTACAAGGCAATAACTAATGAGCTTTTATTGCACAATTTTAAAATTCTCAAACACTCACACAACAAAGAACAATAATGAAGTAGGACAATGATGAAGGGCCTAGGTTCCCATGGCAACCAACAGGAATAAGCACACGACAGAAGAATAACTGCCATAGCTGTAAAGAGCATGTTAAGATTAGTTAAACTTTGAAGCTTGAAGGGAGTTCAAAACTTACAGACATACATTTTCAAAAATCAAAGTTTTGTGTGGAAGCATTCGTCAGTAGGCAAGAAGTGCCTACCAGCAATAGCTTGCGTAGCAGACCAGTGAGATTGAGAACTCATTCCCTTCCCCACAGCACCCCAACCCAATTCCCCATCCCTGTTGATCCCTGTTGGGCTGCTAGGTAGGCTGCTAGTGGGGGGGTTTGATTTAAAAAGGGCAGGGATTCTTGTGTTTTTTAGGGTTCCAGAACTGGGATTTGGTACCTTTTAGGGTGTCACGAATCTAAAAGTAAGCCAGTTCCTTTCATTAGTGTGTTTGTCAGGTAATAAGATATTCAAAACATTTGCTATCCAGGATCCTTTTTGGGGGTTTATCATCCAATTCCTGTCACTTAGCACTCATAGATAAATAATTAGTATTTTAGAGTTGGTATTTCTTAGGGGTAAAAATCATTAGTTGCCAAACCCACCTAGAAACGAATCTCACCTCTGGAATCTTTGGTTTAATACCAAGACTAGGCATCACATATGAGTAGAGTTTATTAGATGTGTTCATGAATACAAACAAAAGCATTAACAATTAATTGATTCTTATAACTCAATTAATGCAGACTAAGCATTATTTAATTCCTTTGAAGCCAATAAACACAAATATCAGTGTTAACTAAATCAGTGTAACAATTATGACATTTTCATTGATAGAATTGTAAGCTTGATATAGAATCAGTTAGGCCTAGGGCAAACGTTGAACTTTCCATGCACTGAACTTAATTACATCAAAGAATGTCGCCTCATTATCACCTGATATCCATTGTTTTTAATGAGTTCGGTACATGGAAAGTTCGACGTTTGCCCTAGGCCTAAACCACTTCGAGTATACTTTATTTTTATCATAGCTAATAGTTTTCATGTTTCTGTTACTATGACAACTTGAGGAAGCATGTCCCATGTTTTGGCCTTATTTACAACAGTTTGACTTGGCCACCTAAATATCTAGAAGTAACTCAAGGTGTAAATCACTTTTAAGATAAGACTTGATACGACACTGAGCATTCATTCAATCATTGTTTTACCTATTTACATAATCATAGTCGGACATAAATGACAGCTTTTTTTGGTCTTAGGATATCACTTTTTTTCAAGTCTCAAAAAAGTAGTTCAATGTGTCAATCAATTAAGACTTAATTACTGCTGTTTTCAATATTCTGCAAACTTGGTGGTTGCAACCTGCATGTTGAAATTTGTTTTTTTTTTGCTGCCGTCAATCATTTAAATAATCAGTCGGTACCTATAATGTTCTTGACTGGCAGCAGTAAAACATCAATTTCACAACAAGCCCTAGCCTCCTTTGCAGCCACTCCTGGGGTCGTCACGCAACGTTTCCTGTCTTTCCTTTGTGGGGAGGGAAACGTTGTGTGACGACCCTAAAACAGCTGCAAATTAAAGGAGGCTAAACAAGCTGTTGATATTTCTGAGTTCGCAGAATATCAAAAACTGCAATTTAGACTTGATATAGCATTGCTCATGTATTCATTTATTCATTCAGTTCATCCATTGATATTCACACATAAGTGACAACTTTTTTAGGTGCAGCATCTTCAGTATCTTCTTCATCTTTCAAGTTTGCAATARCCTTTCTCTTTTTGGCAGGCAACTTCTTCCTCAAAGATGTTTTCAGTCGACCAAAAGAACTTTTTCTCCTAACGACATCTCTACCCGTTGTGGCATACTTACTGTCTCGTCTGTCAAACACCTCCGTCACAGAATCACGAACTATTGAATCTGCTTCCGCGAATGAGCGGCTTCTACGATTCAACTTCTTTTCTGGATGATAAAAGAACTCCTTATGCTCCAAGGCATCCTTTTGCATCCTTAGCGCCGCTTTACTTCCTTGATGGCCGTGAAATCGGTAGCAAAAACTACCGCCATCTTTTCTAACTTCGTTGTAAAACACCACGTGGAATTTTCGATTCTGGTTCTGTGTTGTTACGACTTCCTGCCATGATATTTCCAGTATTAAAGCCCCTGGTTCATTATATTCATTAATCTCGTACACTAATATTCCTCTCTCGTACAGCCCCAGGAGAATATGATTACCGTTCTTGTCTGTAGCTCCTTTATGGATTGATATTCCGTAAAGTTTGAAATCTTGAGCGCTTTCTAGGAAAGCGACAGCCGCTTCCTCTCTACTCATCCCTTGATGTTGGCGATGATTATAACCAACCAACGCCTCATACTTAGCTTCGATTATTTCCTCATCAGAGTTAATGCCACACGGCGCAACAAAAAAGCGATCGAGCTTGTACTGTATATAGCCTCTTGGATGGATATTTGGGTCGTAATCTCCCAACCAAAGCTGTGTAAAAAGGCCATCGAGGATTGCGTGTTTTCTTACTGGTACGGCAATCAAAAACTTCCCGCGCAATAGTAGATCTTTCACTTGTAAACACATTAATTCGCGCGCTACTTGGCCGACTTTTCGAGGATTTCTTGGGAAGAATTTCACTGCAAATTGAAAATGGTATGGCTTAGATCTCTGAGTGCGAATTTCTTCGGTCATTCCTAGCCAGTCTAGCTCTCCGTCTTCCCAAGCAGTGTACTGTAATCCAAAATACTCTCCATCCTCTAACTTTAAGTGCTCGCACACTTTGTCAAACAAGTCCTTTCCTTTGGCTGATTTCCTTTCGAAACTTGCTCTGAATTCTGTGTTATCAAGGAGTATAACTTGACAATTAAGTCTACGTGAAGACTGTCTTCTTGTAGGGCTTGTGGATGTCGATACAGGCATCTTGTTGTTAAAGGGAAAACGCTTTCTTCCAATCAAAACACGTAGCAGTATTTTGAAAACGTTTTCACGTCGTGATGAAAGCATAGATAGAATCTTTCACTTTCAGTTTCGAAGTCACTGTATATTTTTAGAACAAGTCTTCTTACTAGATCAATGTTTATCCTCTCATACGATATAAAAGACTGTAGTTTTACGGTCGAATCCACAAAACACCTAAATAGTATTACAACCCACAAACACTGTAGTGGTTTCCTTGTAAACCCTTTCGCTGCAAACGAAGGAACTATAAACAAACCAAAATATCTGTAACTAGGGGAAATAGTTCTTATTTCCTAGAAAAAGCTGCCCTGTGACCTCGATTTTTCCATTCATTCGCGTAATAGCGAGTAGATCGACTTGTCGAAGCAAACTGAAGCACTAGTCGAAAAACCGACGTCTAGTCTGGAGAATTTGGGGTTTGGCTAGAACGTTTCTCATTGGTCGAACCAACGGCTTTATTTGTTTAGTGTTTTACATACTGTATGTGGAAAATGGATTAGAGGCTCTTGTTTATAGCGGAAACAGAGTCATTAATATTACATATTCCTTGCACAAAAAATTGCTTTTGCATTTCAGCTGCACATATGCTTGATTCATTTTGTTCAATAATGAATGTTCGAACCAAATAATGAAATCAAGAATCCAAAAATAAAGTCGTTAATGACCTCTATGTATTCACGCTTGAGGTGGTTTGACTGTAACCATTTCACCCATCCATCCACCCATCTTTTCTATTTTCCCTATATCTAAGAGGGTCCTGAAGGGGTAAAAAATGGGATTGTAAATAGCTCAATAAATCAATTTGTCATACACATACTGAGATTTACCTCACATAAAACCTGTTAAATATGTTTTCGTTCATTCACTTTTCCTGACGAAACACAATGTGAGTATCATTTTTGCTTTGTGTATCCACAAGTTAAGAAAAACTTTGAATTTTACACCTGGGTTTGAGAAATGTTTGGGGTAAAATACAGTCATCCCAATCTAGCAGAATTTTAAATGAATACTTGAAGATTTTATGAATTTTTAGGTATTTTATTCATACAACAAAGCAATAATCCCTCTCCTCTATTTATTAATAATATTGATAATTCTAAATTCTATATACATATATTACAGCTATATTGGTGCTATTCTCTAAGGAAAGATGGCCTTGAGCTTGGAATAATGGCGAAGTTTGCATGAAATCATACAAAGACATTTTGACATTAGAAAAGCTTAAATTAAATTTTAAAAATACCTCAGTAAATTGTGACTCTTTAAAAACTTATCTTTTTTTGAAGTTTGATTAAGGAATATTTTGTAAATTTTAAAATAATACAAAATTATTTAAACACAGATATCTATAAATGATATTTATAAATTATATCTATAAATGATATCCATAAATATGTTTATGTAAAAAGATTCCTTTTGGAGGTAACTAATACTTGAACTAATGAAGTACGCAGTTTTAAACTAAGGGTGCTTTACATTAAGTCAAACCAATTGGTCTGAGCGTCCAGTTCTCAAATGATGTGTACAGTTCTAAGAACATGTACCATTTGAGAACTGGCTGCTCAGACCGATCAGTTTGACTTAATGGAAAGCATCCTTAGTTCCCCTTTGCATTCTGAGCTAGATTACCTTATAAATCAATAGTTTTCCTTACCCTACCCCTCCTCTTTGCACCATTATATTCCTATGTGTCATCCAACCTATAGAGTGGGAGGGGAACAGAAGAGTAGCTTTTTCTCTAAGAGTAGAATGAGTTTAAGCAAACTTCATTGTAAGTTCATTGTATAAGTTCCTTCCAAGTAAACCAATGACATTCATGCACACCTCTTAAACTTGCTGTTCCATTTCAGATCAAACATGTCATTACGTTGCTAATTTCAGAGGTGAAAAATTAAGCTACTAAGTACAGAAGAGTCCTGTTATCTTAAACCTACTGGGTACCATGAAAAAAAGTTCAAATGGGAGTTCAAGGTATACAAAGTAAAATATTGTAGTGTTACTCACATGGCTTCAAGATAACAGTTTGAGATATCCAGGGTTTGAGGAAAAAAACTCAAGACAAACAAAATCCTAGACACTGTCATTCCAAATTCTGTCACTTGGTATTTTTACTAAAGACAGTCAAAAAAAGTTACTTTATATCTCAGTCACACAAGGTCCAAAAAATGAAACAGCAGAATACATTTAATATTGAAAATCATGGCTAGGGTGTGTTGAATGTCACCAGTTTTGCAAACTCTAAATAGCACCTTTAAAACGAACCCCTTCCTCACATTATTAATGTTTTTGGCTTCATTTTCAAGTCTTAAACATACTATACAAATGTCTTTTACCAATCTTTGTAGCTGTTTACTAAGTTTTATTATGTTTCGGGTTGGTAATTGCCATTGTTAGCGAACAGACTTCAACATGACCCTGGGTGGTAGCGAACGGACTGGTAGCACAATTATTACATGGTAGCAAACTGACCAGTTACCTTAAACATTAGTGGTTACTGAGGTAATTACATAATAAATATCTCCTTCAAAGTAAATAATAATTTCATATGACTATACGTGAGGAAAATTCATCATTTAAGTACGTCTCTATAACAGTTAGCAAATATCTGGGTATGAAGTTATTATCTTTTAATGGATGGAACAGAAAGAGATTTAACACCTCAAGGGAAGGGAGTAGATGTTATGAATGTTGCAGGCAAGCGCATAATATTTAGGACTTCCTTTATTTACTTTGATATTTACTCCACAGGGACTCGAGATAGCATCAACCAATACCACCAGCTTCTTCAAATGCCTCCTTCATTGGCCCTCATATAACTCTTCTGACATGTACCTTGTTCACAGAATTAAAGAAACGAGTGTGATGTCTTGAGGACTTTTCCTGGAATACCCATTTTTACCTTCGCCGTTTATAAGCAGTAAGTTCCTCATTTAGCCTTGATATTTCATCTCCCAAAGTATCTAGATTTTCCTGTAGGAAAAAGCAACCAAAACTGTGAAATTGAAGAGAAACCCACATGGAAAGGGAGAGAACAACACATCAAACACACTCTATTCACATATTGTGGGTTCTGCAGGAACCAAACACATGACCTGACTACCGAAATCACTGTGGTTTATTGCTCCCACCCTTCTACATTCTTTCTATATCCCATCCATATCCCATCCATATCCCATCCATGTCCCATCCATATCCCATCCATATCCCACCTACATTCCATCCATATCCCATCCATATCCCATCCATATCCCATCCATATTCCATCCATATCCCATCCATATCCCACCTACATCCCATCCATATCCCATCCATATCCCATATGACCTACCTTTAGTGTGATATTTTTAAGTATAGTATCTTCAAGAACAGCTTGTAATTTCTTATTAATTTGTAGTGATAATTCCATCGTCATATCACTATCAAGTGGTTTGGATGAGTACAATGATGCCATGATGCCTCCATGGCGCGACAAACGTGCCTGAGGTAGGAAATGGAAGAGTTAAAAAATTATTTTACATTGACCATAATGGAAAGAACTAATTGTAATGAATAAAGTCTTCCAAAATGCTTAAAAAGAGTATATAAAACAAATACAGTAAAAAAATGAAGCACACTAATAGTTTGATATTTTGTCATCAGATTCTTCATTAATATTGTTCTTTGGCTGACAGATAGTCAACCAACAAATTGGCCCACTGTCAGCCATTGATCAGGCAACAGTCCACTGAATGTTGTTTGACACTTTTCATGAAGGTTGTGGTTTCTCAATGCAGTTTGTGTAAGGAAAAAGTCAAACACCCACAGATGGCCAGAGTTACGACATGCTTTAATGTGTCTCAATTTGTCAAGAGTGGGGGAAGGGTGGGGGAGGGGAGAAGAAGCGACATAGAGATCAGAATAGAGAAAAGAAAGAGTAGAATACAACCAATAGTTATGAGCACAGAGCGGAAAATTTAAGAAAAACCAAGGCACCTGTTTAGCAAGCCAAGAAGAAAAGAATTCAGAAGACCAACGAGGTGGCCCACCACATGCTAGACCTGAGGACTTTTAATGTGGAGATATGAGAGTAAACAAAGGGGAGGATGGAAGGATTAGCAGGGGAAGGATTAGCAGGGTATAGATTATTATGAAAAAGATTAGATGTGTTGTTAGATGCCAGGTAACGATAACAAGTGAATTCACAACAGACTGTGTGAAAAATTCAAACACTTTGATCTAGCCACTAAAATAACCATGATTAAACACTGTTTAAAAAAAGGCAACTAATTTGAATAACTATTGTTCTGGACTGACCACCCTCCTATACATGTGAAAACGCTTTTATGTTTCCATGTGAACATAGGGCTAGTCAGTACAGAAGCATAGTTATTCAAATTGATCGCCATATTTTGATTCAATGTATAAAACACAAGCTAGTATTAAATAATGAGACATTAAACTAATTAAATTAAACAATGGGTGGATACTGCTATCTGATGGATAAACCTTATTCAGTGGATTAATGATTATTATTAATCATTATCAATTATTCATTGGATAACAGCTTCGACTTATCCACTGGATAAGGATTTATCCATGGGATATTGCTATCGACCCTTCGTACACTTCGTCTAGATGTCTACCATATATACCTTATTCAAGTCCGACATAGGCGGGGCCAGTGCTCCTGATTCTTCTCGTAATGTGTAATACTGAATGATTCTGAAATGAAGTAAGATTGAGGAAAAGAAACTTAAATCATTGCTCGAAGATAAGGGTGACGACTCTCCTAAAATTGCATATGTGGCATATTTTAGTATTGTGTTTTTTCTGTAGCGTGTATGGTGCTACAGCACTACAAGCCTCAGTTCCACACTGAGGAGTGTGTGCATTTAGGCTGGCTTTGCCATCGCACTCTGGTCTGTGCTCCTTTTGGGGTTGCATTGCTTATATACGCCCTCTCGCATACGGTCTCTTTCTGTGGAGTGCTGTCAGAGATTGTCTATTGAATAACTAACTTAGCTTTAAGTTTTCAAACCAACCTTGTCTTTTTCTGGATCTCGTCAACAAGAGCATTGATATGTTCTTCCATGAATTCTAATTTCTCATTCTTTTTGGCATGGATTTTCTGCAGTCGGCATATCTTGTCTACTAATAACTTCTTACTCGGCTCTATCTCAGTTCCTGTTCTCATTGGTGGATTGATTGGTTGTACAATTTGAACAGCATCGTGGTTGGGTGGCATCTTTCAAGGAAATAAAAACCCATGATTGATAAATATAGGCATTTTTCTAATCCAATGATGAGTAATAATTACTCTTTATTAGATTTAGTGTCCATCACTTGTACTTAAGGTAGAAACATACCCCTGAATCAGTTACACAAGCAGACATAGCAGGATTATTGACCACAACTGGTGATGAGCCGTTAGCACTCAGTTTATCCAGAGAAGAAGTAGATGATGATTTGGAATCATCATCAAGGCTTTCCTTTGAACCATGATGGTTAGATTCTAGTTTATCTACCAGCCTGAATACAGAGGAAAACAGGATTGGTTAATGAATGGATGGATAGATGGGATTAAATGAATGGGATTGGATGGATGAATGAATAGAGAGATGGAAGAATGGATGAGTGTAAGGGATGATCAGAAGCATGGATATGGATATGGATATGGATGGGAGGGGAAAATAGATGAATGGATGGGAGGGAGGGTTAGAAGAATGGATGCAGTAAAAAATAGATTAATTAGTCAATGCCAATGACAGTGACAATGACAATGGGAGGGAGGGATAAATAGATAAATGGATGGAATTGGATCGAGAGATGAATTGATTGCCAGATTATCAGAGGAATGAAAGGAAATTTGACAGCCTGGCCCTTTTAACCATGGAGGTGAGGGAAGAGAAGAAAAGAAGATGACTTAGTAATGTATCTAATACATACTTTCTTGATTGTTGTAGCTGTCTGGTCAAGTCCTGAAACACAACAAGAATCAACATGAAGCATACCAAGATTTAGTTACATTGTTCCTTGGAGTCTATTCATAATAATTGTGTTGAAGCAGATTACAGACCTTGATTGAAGCATTGTTTTTTCTTCTAGTGACTTGTAACTCATCTTTTGCATCTTCCAAGGAAAGAGACAGTTGCTCCACTGAAAATATAAGAGGACATGTAAATCTTCAGATATCCATTAAGTCTGATGGGTATGAAGATAATAAATCATCGTAGGTGGCATAATCACAATAAAAGAGTGGTGTCTTTTACAATCGGCATTTGTAAACTGCTCATTAAACTGCCTCACTCAGGCACAGCACAGATATATATGTTGCCTATGACGAAAATATACCTGCCTCACAAATACAGCAAGTATGAAGGCTGGTGGTAGTTGAAGTAAAACAAATACTGGCATATTATTGGTTCAAACTGACCTGCTTTCGATTTCTCTTGCACAATAATAGTAAGTTGTTCTAGATTTTTCTGTAGTGATGTTATCTCTTCTTTGTACTGACTTTCCTGAAAATAGTATTTGGAACTTTACATTGGATGGTGAACATGGTGCTTACAAATATCTATAATTAGGCAAGTTTTTATCTCAATTAGGGCCTTGAAAACATTTGACCCAACAATGATACATGTATGACCCAACATTTGTTGGGTCAAATGTTGGGACCATTTGTCATGGTTTGCTAACAATGTTGGGATGCGATTTTTGATGTTGGATGAATGTTAAGCTTGTTTGTTATGTTAATTTTTCACAACACAACAAAAACAAAATGTGCCAACATTCTGCCCCAAAATGTCAAATTTTGGGCCATTTGTCAGAGCCCTAAATTTAACTGTATTTCATTAGTAAATTGAAGACTAAGAAATAGAAACATAAGCTTTACTCACCAGAGTGGACTTCTGTTTTTTTATCTCTTCAAGGTGTTCTTCTAAGTTATTCTTTTCTTTTTGGACACTTTCACACTATCAAAGAAAGTACAAAAAATTGAAGTATTTTATTTTTTCATGGGTTCAACTGGTAAAATTTATTTCCTGTACCATTGTCTGGATGCTAGTGACTTCAGATTGGAGTTGAGCATTCTTAGCAGTTAATTTCTCAGTGAACTCAAGGAGTTCTGATTGATTGCTGGTTCCACCAGAGATGTCAGACTCTAAGTCATGGATGTACTTCTGCTGTCTTTCTTTTTCTTCAGTTAGCTTAGCGACAGTCTGGACTTCACTGAAAGTAGAACAGGGATTATAAATACTGGAAGAATGAATGGTGGATAGATAGGGTGTGGATGAAGTGGATGAGTGAGAGGATGCATGAATTGATGGGTTGGAATAGTGGAAAACTGGATGGATTGATGGTCATGTGTGAAAATGGGTGAATTAAAAGAATAAATGGATGGAATGGAATGGATAGGTGAGTAGATGCATAGGTGGGTAGATGGGTGGAAAACAGATACATAAATGCATGGGATAGATAGATAAGATGGGAAGGGAAGGGGTGAACAGATGGATGGATAGAGGTCAAATTTTTTCCCCAATACTTGCAGTATTTTTGTCCTCGGAATCTCACCTTTCATACTTAGTTTTAAATTCATTTACTTCTTGTAGTTCTTTCTTTAAGGTTTGAATCTCTGATTTCTGTGCTAACTCATTCTTTTCATGTTCAGCTATCTTCACAGCATAAAGGGTTATCTTTTCCTCAAGTAAAATGACCTGGCAAACAATCATATTTTCAGAGGTATTGCTACTAGTAGTAGTACTATTATTTACCTTTTACAATAAATTTTGCTTGTGTGTTAAATAAAAGCTACCATATTCAGCATCCAATGTGAGGGCAATCAAAATATCTTTATCACTAAGAAATATAACAACATGCAAGCACAATATCTCCTACCTTGGCCTTTAGATCCTTTATTTCCTCTACATAAATTCTTTGCTCATTACGTAGGTTGACAAGCTCTTGCACCTTCACTCTGTAAATCTGCAAGAAATGTTGTTCAAAGACCATTATTTTATAATAACAAAATATTATATTGATACCATTGGATCCCCCTTCAAGATTCCTATGTCCTTGATCAATAAGGAGGGAAATGAAATAATGGATATTTACTTGAAGTACACAATCATGTCATAATTACTTACCTCATCCTGGTCAGCAATTTCTTGCTCATTTTTCTTTAGTTCATCCTCTTTTTCTTTCAGTTTTTGATCAAGACTACTGGATTTCATTTCTTCTGATTCCTGTGGAAAGATGGAAAAAGGAAATAACTGCCATGTATTCATTTTGTTTTATTCTCATTGGAAAAACAGAGAATGAAGGTAAAGTAACATATATTTAACATCATCAATTTGTTGGCTATCACACTACAAAATGCCCACTTGGGGGTCTACTACCCAGTACTACTTTGGGGTCTACTACCCAGAACTACTTTGGGGTCTACTACCCAGTACCTCTGTGGGGTCTACTACCCAGTACT